GTTCTTGACAAACTAAATGATATCTTAATGCTAGGAAACTTCAGTTCTGGTTTTATACAAACCATGATTTAGAAAGCTTTTCCCAGTCCAAGTAAATGGTTTATTCTATCTTAGATGCTACTTTCTTAGTAGTAAACACAGCACAATTATACATCAATTGAAATTATTTCATTACTTAAAATACGTGACAGGATGAAAGGCAAGTTTCATGCTAGTACCACTGCAATGACAGTGGCAAGTAATTTAAGTAATTGCAGCAATGCACTTCATTTTCACTGGAAAGATGGAATTCTACAGAGTGGATTTAGAGAGCAGATCTAGTCTTGCTACTTTTGTGTAGGTAACAGAATTATTTCACTAGAAATAACGTGACAACATATTCAATATATGCTGCAAATCTGAAGGGGAAGGGAAATCTAACTAACCTTATTTTAATTCTTAAGTGACCTCACTGGTACATCAAAGATTGTTTGTCCCCTCTGCACACCAAAGGCATTTTAATTAAAAAGGAGCAAGAAAAAAGCTGTTTTGGAAAACGTAAAGACTGTTTCGATAGTCAAGCATCATTTCAGGGATAATTATTGTTGGGTTGTTTTTGTTTGTTTCTTAAAAGGTGAAAAGCAAGTTTAAAGTTCAAATTGCTCAGCTATAATCAATTGACAGGAACAGAACAATGTGGGATTTTTAATGTATACCAAGGGTTGAAGAGGGCAATGCATAAGAGAAACTACAGATTTTCAGGTTACTATGTGTATTGTGGAGCATTATATTTCTTAAGAAACACAGATTTAATTTTATAATAGATTACAGAATTGCAATATGAAATTCAGATTCTTTTAAATACAGCCTCTGGTTTCTACCCTATTTGGTACAGACAAGTTGCACTACATTTTTTCAACTGTTTGTTCCTATTTTTATATTGGAAGATGGTCACATCTTATGGTCATATCTTTTATTTATTAATTTTTTTATATAATGTGACCATCTTCCAATACATAGCAAATTAAAATTAACTAGTAAAAGTAATATTAAAACAAGTTAAGAAACAAAACCAGAGAATTACAGATTTACTCCTGCTACAGTTGCAAGAAATACCTATAAAAACCAAATACCACAGATGGGACAGGATCCTTGATAACATATTGTATGTGGTCAGTTTCATTACTTCCTCTACAGTGTCAGTTTTCTCCTTTCTTGCTGGTAAAGGTTAAAAACAGGAAAATGTGATTATAAAATGACAAGAATTGGCTGGGGAATATAGACCACAAGGTTGAACAATAACTTAGAACTGGGGGGGGGGTGTCGGGTTTTGTTTTTACTGATGAGATTTCGGTTTGATGCATCCTTTTGGCAATAAAACATCTACATTCATCAATCTTTTAAAAACAGATGAAGTCACTCTAGTTCAGATATTCGTGTCAGCCACCTTGTTAATGTCCAACAAATAATCTGGAGCAAACTTTTATCCTGCATTAGTTTGTTGTAGCAACACGACTACTATTGTTTAAGTAATGTCATCTGGACTCCAGGCAAGTAAAACCTGGATTTTAGAATTCTAAAGTCCAGAGTTCTTTCACTTCAGATGGGTTACCTGGATTTTAAGCAGATGATATTCGCAAAGACCGAATCTTAAACCTAAAGACAGAAATCATCAGGACAAACTCTGATGAGTTTAGGAAGTTATTAGGGTAAATGATTGATGCTGACAGATCATGCCTCTGCATAAGCATATTAAAAAGTAAATTTAGAGCTGAGACAGTTTAGGGGTAGATATTTCAGACAAAAAAAAGCAACAGTATTATATAATCACTAGATTTGATTGAAGGAAGATCTAGTATGAGTGGTCTTATCACCTCCTTCCAGTGGAGCTGGGTGGATTTGTCGATTACATATTCTGCTTTGTGTGTTAAACATTTGACAGGGAAGTGCTGTTAAGTTAAAAACGGCACTAACAGATCTCAAACATTTGGGCAAAAAAATAACAGAAGCTTAGAAACCTGTGCAAAGGAAAGGATTAGGAAGTGCAGCATAGATTTTTACCAATGCTGAACTCTATGTGCATTGTTAAAGGCTACTGTATATTCTGGAACAGATATTCAGTGAAGATAGGTCTCCCGTAACTGAACTCAAACTCCATAGTAGTCAGTTTTCCATACTTTGAAACAAAATTGTTAAGAGGGTCTCAGATTTGTTTTGCAGTTCAGGAGAAACTAGAAAATTAGCACCTCCTGGCATCAGGCAGTTGAAAGTACGGAGATGTTACTGTTAAGATACGAGTTACCAAAATTTTGGAAGAGGTGTGTTAAGATAATGTCTATACATATCCCGCTTTGTTGCTAGAAATTCTGTTTGCAAAACAGCATCTGGCATTGCCAAGCTGCTAGAGCCAGTCTATACCCAGAATCTGTGGTGGGTCCATGTAGCTCCAAACAGCAGCTGCGCTGCCAGAGCATTTAGTGCATCCTAGGAAGGTACCAGGTGCTAAGTGGACAATAACAGCATGCCAAAGACACAATGCATGTAGTTGCTCCTATAACTGGCTGGCAGCTGAAACTTAACTCCACCTGGAGGAGATGTAATAGTTGTACAGGCAAAAAGGAGGACTTTGCTGCTGCAGAGGAGCTTTAGGTATAAAGACTATGCCTAACAGTACTGTAGAAAGGGGAGGGAGAGAGGGAGTAACAGACATTGTTTACTCAAAGAATAGCGGCTGGACAGCCTGTCTGAAAGCAGAAAGAAAAGGACTTGTATCTGGTAAGTCATAAGTTAAACCTCTTGGCAGTTCTACCTTACCCAGGGAAAAACATGGTTGAGATTGGGCCAGGTTGAGCTACCTTGCTAAAACAGGTTTAGTCTACTCTTAGTAGCATATACACTATAGTAACACCACATAGCTCAATTTAGCTGGCTACATGCTAGCCCAGGGACTGCATGAACTAGGCTTTAATTTTCTATGAAGCACAAGCAGCTTAAACTTTGAATTAATCCATCAGCTAAAAGGTGCTGTCCTCTTTATCTACATTATGAAAAGGACAGACCATTTATTCTTCTGTCCCCAGCCTCCACAAGAAATACATGACTTAGATAAATGTTGACCAACACAATATTATTCTGTATTGCACATGGAGACTGTTTCCCATTCCAATGTCAGCAGAGAACTATGGGGTAAATGTATACTTACACAACACTTAGGACTGAACTTCCAAGGATCAGTGAAGACTACAGATGCACCGATATATTGGTCCCCACAACACAGCCCTGGCCCAGCCCTCCGGCCAGGAAGAGGCTGGTGCAGCCCTTGGCCCCAAGCCTGCAGCAGGCAGCCTTCTCTCACCCCACACAAGTCTAGGAGGCACATGCCCCTTCCCCTGGGGGCGCATGCAGCAGTGGGAGCCTCCCCCTTTCCCACCCCCACCCCAGACAAGCCATGGTGGCTCCGTCCCACCCCACCCTGGGTGGGCAGCTCCTACCCCCATCCCTACCCTACTCTCTCCCTCACTGTGTGGGGCCTCAATCTGCCCCCATGCCCTTTCCCCAACACAGACTTATCAGCTGGACACTGCTCTTTAAGCTGCTGGGCTGCATATTGGCTGTCAGATTGGCATCAGCCAATATAGCTGGTTAATAATTGGCCATCAGTATCGGCTAAAAAATCTTTAATCGGTGCACCCCCAGCGAAGACCTGACACAAACTTCTCTGATCCTATTCAGTTAAGCAACCATCAAATCACTCTTGGCTCTCACCAACAACAAAACTGGAGAAACTGGCCAAGCCTAGGAATTTTCTTTCCTTTACATGTGCAGGGATCTTCTTGTCCTGAACACAGTATCCTCCAGGACACACCAAATCTCTTCAAACACTTTTATTTAAAAATCCAGGTTAGGCACATTTATGATTCAACAAGAGTAACTAGAAAAAAGTTAGTATTAATACAAGACAGGTGTGGGATACAGAGGTATCCCAATAATTTAAAAGGCCAACTAGGGGCCGTGCTGTTTTTGACTTGCTGCTTGGAAACAGGGAATAATTGGTGGGGAATGTAGAAGTGGAGGGTAACTCAGGGAGCAGCAACTACAAAATGATTGAGTTCAGGGGAAGGCAGGCAGAAGAGTAAGGTCCCTGGACTACAGAAAACCAGATCAGCCTCCCAGGGGATCCTGTCCATCAGTTCCCTGCGTGAGTCTCTCTCAGAGGTGGTAAACAGAACAAGGAGCACGAAATCAAGTTGTAGCAAGGAAAGTTTAGGTTAGATATTAGGAAAAAAACCCTGTCTCACATGGAAGATAGTAAAGCATTGGAACAGATTACCCCCAAACTCCAAATCATATACTAAAAAAAGTCTGCCTTTTTTTAAAAAAAGGTCTTTGAAGTTATGTCTCCAAAGACAAAGCACTGGCTTTTAGCATACAACATGCCAAGAGCAACCGTCATTGCAAGTTGCTACAACCGTCTCTCTTCTGTCAAAAAGAGAACAAGCAGGACTAACAGGGACCCAGTTACATACTCTATATTTGTTTTTAACCTTCTGTTAACATTACACTCAACGTACGCTAGCTTTTTATAATATAAAACAAACATTTTCAAATAAATGAAGTCACTGAGACGACATAACCCCTTAATATTGTAAATAGGCCGATAAACACATCCATTAACTATGTTGGGTAAATAAAGAGGGATTATGGCATTAAACAGCTGCAGAATGATTAACTGGAAACTCTACCTTAATGATGCTTAGAATCATCCATTTTAACAGGATCATTACAAATAGAAAAAGTTAAAAAGCAATGAGCTAGGGATACTCCAATTAGACAGATGCAAGATACTAATCCTATGCAAGTTAAGAAAAAAAAAATGTTTAAAAAAAGAAACACTTCAATTCATAGGTTCCTTTGGGTCAAAGAGACTTCTTACAACATATGTACGCACACATGCAATAATCAAAAGTTTCAACCAAGAACACAATAGCAAATTTGAAGAGATTACTTTTTGAAAAACTTACCTCAGATTGTACATGCTGGATCACAACAGTTAATGCTTCAAAGTTCCGGTTACTGCAGGCCAGGAGTTTCTTCAGCTGCAGGATAATTCCACGTTGGTTCTCACATTTTGCTTTGTATTGTGCCAACTCGTGTGTTTTTATTTCATATGAATGCGCATCTGGAGAGGTTTGGGTTTGTATGCACGAACTTTTAGGAGTCCTCTGCTTGCCCTTGTCAACTGGAATTAAAATATATATGCATACAATTAATATTTATTTGGTGCTAAATATCAAGAAACAAAGAAGAGAGTAGAAAAAATTAAGAATATTTTCTTAAGTCATTCTAATTGGGTTCAAACATTTATTTTAATAGTACGAGTCTTGTGGGTTAGAAATTGTATTTGGCATAGCATTCTAGTACAATACCCAAATACAATTAAATTTGTGTGCTTAAATTCATTATTCTGAGTTTACATTTTTTTCATTACGCAGCATTTTAGAAAGCTGCTCATACCACTGTTTTAATCAGATCTTGAGAGAACCTGAATGTTCCTTTGACACCAAATTTCTTGCAACATGAATGTTTGCCTAATTTTGCCATACACTATGTGCCCATCCATTCTTTTTAGGTCTGCAAAAGGGTTTTACATTTACTAAACGTTAATGAAGCTAGCAAATTGTAATTTATATTTAATCCACTGCTTTCTTTATTTTTCACTATGAGAGTTCCACAATTATAAGTCTGTATTTGGGCTTTATCAGCCAAATATTGAAGCTTGTTTCTCAGCACCACTAGCTTTAGTCACAAATGAAGCACTTACTAAACCTATCAAAAATGTAAATACACTGCAAGCACTTCCCTCCCCCACCCATTATGCATTGTTGGATGATTACCTAGTTTATTTTGACATTCTTAGGTTATGTTGCAACCTCAAAACACATAGAAGCACTTCTCAGACATGCAATGGCAGAAAAGAGAATCAATTTACTCATTAGTATTCAATTCTTAACGCTCCAAGTATACTAGTTTTCTTTATATTGCTGCTCTAAACTGAAAGCTAAAGAAAACAATGGTGCAAATAAGGCCAGGATGAGGCCAGGCTCCTTTTGATCACAGGGTGTGAGCAAATCCTGCAGCAACCAAAACCTGACGCAAGATATAAAAATACCAAGGTAGTTTAATGAGATCAAGGTGCAAATTTCAGCAGCTGACTTAACAAGATTCCTTCACAATAAAAGTTGAAAAACAACAGAAAATTAAGTACTTTTTGAAACCATAATAGTAATACTTAGTAGAAGGAAAATAGCATTACTCTCAAAAAGACCAAAATTAACAAATCAAAAATCAGCATTTTGTTAATTCTTTCAAAAGCCTTTCATTTAAGTGAGGGAGACACTGGGATGCATCTGATACACCGATCTTTTCCTATACCAACACTCTTCTTCTTTCAGTAATAACCAAGAGCTAGTATGTTGCCAATATCAGTACTTCAGCCACTGCCTTAATCAAATTTCAGTGGCTTAGCAGTTTCTCAAATGTTTAAGAACAGAATCCTAATGCAGGAAAAATAGCTCATTTGTCTGGTGAGATCCAACTCATCCTACTGTATACATCTTCCAAACATGCAATCCACCCTAAAAGGGCTTTTGGCCCCCGTTTCAACTTTCCCTTCAGGAAATGCTGATGTGTTTTGATGCACATTGTTTTGATGCTTTTCTTGGTTACTTCACTGCACATGAAAACATACAAGAATGCTGACCATTAGCAAAATATTTACACTGCAAAAAAAAAAAAAAAAAAAAAGTGCAGTCTCCGATTTGGGTGAAAACTGTAGCCAAGGCAAAAGAAAGACTGCTGCTGAACTTGACCTGCTAATTTTAATTTAAAAGCTTCAAGTTGCCTTATTGAGTTAAAATTACTCTACAAACAAGTTAACGTCACGTTTGTCTTCTTTTCAAGTGAAAACAGTCAACGCTATAATTCAACTGAGCAGTGCACACTTCCAAGCAATTGTTTCAGGTTCTCCGCAAACTCAGGCAGCCTACATATTGTGCAGATCACATCAGATTCTTTACAGTCCTAATAAAACATTGTGAATTAAAAAAATTAAAATACACAAGAACAATTAGAAAAAAGTCTTCTTCTAGCTATGGTGAGATGCATCTGGAGATAAAAAAAATAAAATAAATCACAAGCCCTTTTGTGCCTGTTTATGTCCTTTGTTCCTCACTCACATTTAAACAAAAGCATTAAAACAAAGAGCCAAATAGGTAAAAGCCACACTTATAGCTCCTGTTGAGGAAAGTCTATAATAATAACAACAACATCAAAAGTTGAAAAGGGCTTCAGGTACCAAAATATGGATCAAAATCTTCCCATCAAGTCCATCTTGATGTTTGTGTCACTCTTAGATGAGCAAAAACCCTCAAATCTTTTGCCTTTAATGACGTCCAAGAAACCCTCTTCCTGTGTGCCTCATGCAACACATCCTTATAAAATACCCTCCAGTTCATTTGTAATTCCATGTATACACTGCCATTGAATTCAATTTCTAAAGAATACACACGGAAGACCATTCTAAATCCGACAGGCCAAGTAATCAGATTACTTCCCCCAACTATATGTTGCAAGATGAGCTTTGTGCCATACACAAAAAAATATACTTTTTTTTATTAAACTATACCACTCTGGTGACTGCATCTTGATAGGAGTTCTGAACACCTGTATCTTGAACAAAAGTATAATTCCATGAGCTTGCAGCTGACCCTCAGTCAAGAACTTTGCCCTGGCCTCAGAGAGCTGCCTTATGCTCCTTTAGTACAACCACCCCAGCTGAAGGCTGAACACAAGTCTGACTAAGAGCAGAATTTCAGATCATTCCTTTGTAAAGAAGTTTCAATCACATCAGATTGGCACAGCTTGACCAATCTGATGTGTCCTATAGGAGATAGAGGGAACACCACCACCCAATACTACCAGTTACTATTATTATGAGCTATTTTTCTATAAGGGTGCATTCCAACTACTAGCTACATTTAATTATATAGAAAGGTCACTGAGAGGAGCATTAGAATTAGTTACATTTGTGGGCAGATCCAGAGGGGGTGCAATAGCCAGGTACTTTAGTCCCTGAAGCAAGTAAGAACCTTTCTCTCTGCCCTGCAACATCCTCACCCCTCTGTGCTCAGCAGTACTTCCCCTGCTGTCAGACTGCCCCTTTTCCAGTCTGCTGCTGTCACTGTCCCTGACTGACCCAGGTGTTGAGGTTGCTCCAGAGCTGCTTCGTCCTACTCTAACCAGGTTGCACAGAAAGCCAGGCTCAGTCAGGAACAGAGACAGTGGCAGACAGGTTTCCCCTTCCTGCCCTGTCCATAGCTACCCCCTCCTCCCCCAGGTGTTCCCCACCAGCTTGAGAGCAGATGCAGTGAAAAGGAACATATCTGCCACTATTACTGTCCTTCCGCACAGCCATTCCCCTGAAACCCTGGATGGATACGAGTAGCAATGGCCACAACAACAGCACTGGCAGGCAGGTCCCCCCTTCCTGCACCTAGAGGCACCAAGTAGAGAGAGGAGTGGAGGGAAGGTACTGCTGAGCACACAGAAAAGGGAAGGGGAGCCAAGAGTAGGCAGTAAAATACTTACCTGGTTTCAGAGACTTAAAATAAAAAAACAAGTTCCCTGCTCCTGCTGCCACAGCATGATCTGCCCACCCCACTGGGAGCAGGAGGTACAGCCTCCCCTATAGTACCGGTCTCCTTTTCAAAAATCCTAGATCTGCCTATACTTACATTCCTTGTCGAATTTTACTAAACAGCATCTGAATAGCTTGAACTATGCTGCTCTAATGAAACACCACCTGAGCTTCTATGCTACTGTTCTGTGCTCAGTTACTGGCTATCAGTTGAAATTCTGCCCAGTTGATAACTACAGTTAACCGCCCAAGGTTTAACCAACTGAGAATTCTTACCATCCTAACTTGGAATTGTAGAGCTAGACCAGAACCCCTCTGAGGTGCCCATGTGACCTCATTAGCATATAGTAATGACATTAAAAATTTCTTTTGTTAAGCAAAGATGGCAAAGTTATAACGTCTAAAAACATACTCCAGACAGGCTAAAACTAACTGAAGAAACCGTCTAACCTTCCCTTTCCAAGTTTTGGGTAGCTGTAAGTTATAACAGTCTTACCCCAAGCTGCCTGCTGTTCATATTCCTCAACCGAACCATTAACTTCCAGAGCTGTCTGAAGGCTTCTAACTTTAATGTCCAAACATTTTTCAACATCCTTAAGTCCTTGCTCAGGATCTTCTTGGTTAGCAAATTCAAGGATGTTTGAAGTCTGACTCTTCTCCATTTTCTGGAAAAAATGATCTACACTTGTCAAGTTGGTGCTCACTTCTTCAATCAATGACACTAAGTCAGCCTGGGCACTTAACCGAAATTCCATTTCTTTCCTCTCTCTCTGGATCTCCTCAAGCATAGTTTTTATTTCCAACTGACTGGATTTTATCCTTGCTTTCAGATCCTCTTCCATCTGTGGCTGGCTCTTTTGTGCAACTGTATTGGTTTTAATTTCCTTTTGAGGTATTTCCATGCCTTTTAAAATTATTTTTGGCTAGTTTTCACTGCTTCTTGGTTAACTTGAATTTCTGCTAACATAGCTGCTAGACTTTCCATCTCCACTTAAGAAACAACCACAGACCTCTTCTTGTTGATATTAATCCTCAGTGGCAACAGCCATCACTGCTTCCAAGCAGTCGGGAACATTTTCACTTGAATGGGAAAGGTAGTCCCCAGTATAGTACCCTACTTAAGTTTACAGTCAGTACACTTGAATGAAGATACTAAATAAAAGACGAGCACATATTACTGTACAGAGCCCTTGTAAATGGCTCAAACCCAGAATTCAGCTGGAGTATTAGTCAGTGTAACAAGCTGCCCAATTTTGCCACACCCAAACCTATTAAATCCTTTGGTAACATCCCACATAAAATAGCATGTCACCTGAAGTTATTCCCATGCATCAGTCAAAAGAATGTACAGCCATTGGTGTTGGCAGGAGTTTTGCTTTTTTGCAACACAAGATGCAGTCCACTGATCCGGAATAACCCTCCCTCCAACAAAAGGGCTTAAAATGAACATTATACTGCCTACAAGGCTTTGATGTCATTTCCCCCCAACACTTACCTAATGACCCCAATCCCATGGTAAATTAACTGGCTCTGCAGGCACTCTT